AAAAAAAAAAAAAAGAAAAGAAAAGAAAATATCTGCTGCTGCCTGTGTTGGTGCCACTATATGTAGGGCGATAGGGAGGCTCAAGTCAATTTAATGCAGCTTTTGGGGGGGGGGGGTTGTTTGATACAGAATCTCACTACACTGCCCAGACTAGTGTGCCCTGGCTTTAGCCTAGCTCACAGCAACCTCAAACTCCTAGAATCAAGCAATTGTCCTGCCACAACACCTGGCTAGTTTTTCTATTTTGAGTAGAGACAGGGATCTTGCTCTTTCTCAGAGTGGTCTTGAACTCCTGAACTCAGTGGATCCTCCCTCCTTGGCCACCCAGAGTGCTAAGATTATAGGTGTGATCCTCCATGCCCAGCTCAGGTTTTCTAATTTTTATTATTTTTATTTCAGAATATTATGGGAGCATAAATATTTTGGTTACATAAACTGCTTTTGTACAGTTTGAGTCAGTTACGTGAATTTACCCATCCTCTTCTCCCTCTGCCCACTTTTTCTTTTGTCTTCTCTTTCCTCCTCTTCCTCTTCTCTTATCTTCCTTTTCTTTTCAGTAGAATTCTTGCTCTGTCACCTGGAACCTCAAACTCCAAGCCTCAAGCAGTCTGCCTGCCTCAGCTCCTGAGTAGCTGGAACTATAGGCATGGCCACCATACCTGGCTAATTTTTCTGGGTGTTTTTTTTCTTTTTTTTTTTCTTTGAGACAGAACCTCAAGCTGTTCCCCTGGGTAGAGTGCAGTGCATCACAGCTCACAGCAACCTCCAACTCCTGGGCTCAAGCGAGTCTCCTGCCTCCGCCTCCCAAGTAGCTGAGACCACAGGCGCCCACCACAACACCTGGCTATTTTTTTTGGTTGCAGCCATCATTGTTGTTTGGCAGGCCTGGGCTGGATTCAAACCTGCCACATTAGGTGTGTGTGGCTGGCACCTTAGCCACTTGAGCCACAGGCACCAAGCCATTTTTCTGGGTTTTTGTAGAGATGGGGTCTTGCTCTTGCTGAGGCTGGTTCTCAAGCTCCTGAGTTCAAGCAGTCCTCCCACATTGGTCTCTCAGAGTGCTAAAATTACAGGCTTGAGCACATGCGCCTGGCCCAGCTTTTGTTTTGTAAGTAAATTTAAAGACTAAGAATTTCTAAGTTTATGCACTTTACCTCATTTCTTCCATTTTTCTTCTGTGAAATTCCGTCTTAACTAATCGAGACTTCTAATCCAGATCTTACCCAAAGTGCTCCGTTTCTGGATGACTTTTTTTTCTTTTTTATTAAATCATAGCTGTGTACATTAATCATGGGGTACAATGTGCTTGTTTTATATAAAATTTGAAATATTTTCATCAAACTGGTTAACATAGC